GGAACTTGCACAATCGGTGGCTGACTAAATACTTTTTTGCCCCACTGTATCTCTTAATCTTAGAGAGAATGCAGTAAACGAGAAAAGAAAAATAAAATCAATATTTGCTGTGAGCAGCCTTTTCCTTCTAAAGGATTATCTGATTTACTTTAGCAAGATTGTTTAAAATTTTTATGTATTTGTAGGCTAGCTTTGCAATCTCCACCTCTGTTGTAGAGATGTGTTTCAAACACTTGTGAATGGCACACTGATGCAAGAAGACCAAGCCGTGTATACTTCCAAAACAAGATTTTTACACAAATCACTTTTATTTTGAAGTCTGATCCAAAGTAAACACAATACTTAGGCTGCCTGGAAGAGGCATTTCAATAACTGCTTTAGCAATCTTCATCAGGGACTTTATGTTGTGCATTCTCCTCGGTATTTGGCAGGTAGGTTGTTCCAAGCATTCACCCAGTTTTGTCTTTTTATGTAATCTGTTGCTTTTGTTTTTTTCTTTCTTTTGTTTTTAAAAGAAAATCCTTCATCATCGTGCAAAACGAATTCAGTGCAAATCAAATGCTGACTTAATTTGATGTGTTCTGTTTTATTTTTTTGCACCAGTGTTTGTGTTCAATATGTGTTTATTCTTTGTCATTTACGAGCAACACATGACAAATGTGACAAACGCGTCGTTGAGCAGCAAAAACACTTGCATTGGTTTAAACATTTTTTTACCATTGACTTCATTCCACATAGAAAAGGACACTAGATGCTTTGTACGTGTGAACAGGCTACGTCATCACTTTCTGTGTGTGATCTTTGCGTGCATGTTTCTGTTACTCCTGCTGTGTGTGTATGTGTGCAAGTTAATAAAGAAGCTGCTGAGAGATGACTCTAACCCTGTGACCTCTAAGCTCCAGGAATCCTTGACTTACTTAGACTTATGACTAAACTTAGCAGCTTCATCTCAGGAGGTTTAAGATCATATTTTAGACAAAGACAGGCCAGACATGGTTGTCTTAACCCCACATTCTCCTACCTGCTGTCAACAAAATCACATATATTACCCATCTATGCGGCTAAGCTACTAAATATGTGCTTATATTTTTTCCCATTAGGATACTTATCTTAAGGAGCTAAAAAGGTTGCTAAGAAGTAAAGCTTAGGATAAGTAGTTGCTCTTGATATCTTGCTCCTCCCCTAAAAAAAAACAAC